GTCAGAAATCCTAGCTGTAGTTAGTTGATATTTTCACTCTGTTGATCTGGATCAAATGGAAAATGCTCCTGTATTAGAATAAACTTTCGACATACTTGGGCTGAGCTTCAAAACAAAAGCTAAATCTGAACTCAGATACTTTGTAAATGGCTTGGAGGTTTCATACTGTTCAATTCATGGAAATTTATCTAATACAGCCATGAATAAAAGGAAGCCAAAATATTCCTAACATTAATGTAAAAAGCTCAGATGTCATTACATGGGTTCAATTTAACGAATTCCATATCAGCTTTTTTCCAAGCTTTTATCCTTGATGTATTCAGATTTCATGGTTTTGTCTAATCAAAGAATGATTTTCACTTTTAGAGATCAGCGGTGCTTATTTATATATTGATTGTCTCAATGCTAGAGCTGTAGTTTGATAAAAATGTAAAAAAAAAGTTAAAAAAAAAAAAACACACATGCAGAAAAAAAAATCCATAACAACAAGAAGCAAAACCCAAACAGTTCTGAGGTCATGCTATAACATAAGGTAAAACTGAAAAATAAATTTGTGGAGATTATGGGGATTAAAACAGATTCATTCAGTTTTGCACCAAAACTGAAGTGCTAGGTGGCTCATAAGGGCTCAGTTGATTATATTAAATATTTTAAAAACACTTATGGGGATGATTTTAAATAGGTAGAGAATTAAATATCCAATTCTGTAAAGGGCTAGACAGAATCAGCTACAAGTTTAACAATGGATTCAGACCATCTGTGAATTCTGCAAAGAGCTCAAGCAGAAAAGGAGAATACAGTAAAATTAAAATACTTCTAAAAGTAATTTAAAAGTTAAGACATCCTTACTTCAGGATGTGCTTTTATTACATTGCAGAAACCACACTGCAGAATATGGAGTTTCTAAATAAAGCTTTACAGAGAATTACTTCAGGAGTTACTGTATTTGTGTTTGGCCATGAAAAGTGTAAAACATTGTGGAAACAAGATTTTTTTAATCACTGTTCTACCAAGTACCAGATTATCTCATAAAGAGACTTTGACTCTGTGAGTTTTTCAGCTCCATTTCTCAGTGCAGAGATATGAGGAACGAGCTATTTTATTGTCACTTGCCTGATTTTATCCCCCAAATATGAGAGATTCTTAGCTACTATATGAGCGTGTTTGTTGTTTAGGTTCAGAGAAGCATGGGAAGCTGGGTAGGAAGAATTGTAACTTAAAGGTGACTAATTGAACATTGTTTTGTTCCTAGAAAGGCTAATCAAACAGAAAAAAAAAAAAAAACAAAATCTGATCCCCAAACTTTCAGACCCTCACACCTGGTAGTTCACACTTTCCCTTATTAAAACGACTTAATGTAAAGTAAATATCTCTTTGGGGCATCAACTTTTAGTTAACATTTGAACAGCAGCTGTAGATCATTTCCTTAAGCAAACAGATATTTTTACAAAAAAAAAAAAAGGGTGGAAATTTATTAATAGCGCAAGTGAGAAAAGAGATGTCATGTTCTGAAGAGCAAATCCGAGCTGTCAGATCACTGACTTGTGCTGTTGCATTATCTGACTGTGCTCTCCTCGTTCAGGGATGTGGTTAGTGATAGTGCAGAGCACTCAGCCTCTTGCAGAAAGGGATTTCTATTTGAATTCTGTGATGCAGATAGCTTGTAAGTATATGCTTAGAGATACAGCAAGTTTCCTGCTG